TATTTCTCTTGGAGCAGTTCAGCATGTACGTTCATGGTCAGCAGATGACTTTTCTCCATCTTCATTACACATGAAGGTTCCTTCCACTTTATGGCTCATGTTACTATTATCCATTTTGTGGCCATCTTATTATCTGTATCCAGAAAGCAGACAGGGAAAAGAGAGCATACTGCTTCTTCTTTTTTTTTTTTTTTTTAAAGATTTTATTTATGTATTTGACACAGAGAGAGAGATGATGAGAGCAGGAACACAAGCAGGGGGAGTGAGAGAGGGAGAAGCAGGCTTCGCGCTGAGCAGGGAGCCCAATGCGGGCTCAATCCCAGGATGCTGGGATCATGACCTGAGCCGAAGGCAGAAGGCAGACGCTCAACGACTGAGCCACCCAGGCGCCCCGAGCATAAGGCTCCTTAAAAGCCTCAGCTCAGCAACAGCACATACCACATACCATTGACTTGAACTTGGATCAGTTAGATGGATACATTTAATATCATGGGAAGCTAGCAAATGTAGTTTAGTTGTGTGCTCACGGAGTGTGACTAGCTACCCCTTATTTATGCATATACTGAAAAAAAGAAAGTGTAAAGGAGAGTAGTAGAGGAGAAATGAAAGGAAAGTAAGAGTAGTAAAATAATACGTATTTCAATATGTATTTCTAGCTATACTAGGAAAAAAAATGAAGTGGTCAGGTACTCAGAGTCATCATGAATGTGGTAGCTGCAAATGCTGGGTGTGGTGTGGGTGATCAGACCCCCGGGTGGCCTTACTGTAGTGATTTTCCAAAAGAGTAACGATTGTTGATACAGTTCTGAACAAAGTATTACCTTCCTTCAATTTATAGGGTAGTTGCATTCCTGAAAAATTCAGTATATATTTAAACCATTTAAAAATAATTTCTGATTGGGCGCCTGGGTGGCTCAGTTGGTTGGGCGACTGCCTTCGGCTCAGGTCATGATCCTGGAGTCCCGGGATCGAGTCCCGCATCGGGCTCCCTGCACAGCGGGGAGTCTGCTTCTCCCTCTGGCCCTCCCCCCTCTCATGTGCTCTCTCTCAAATAAATAAATAAAATCTTTAAAAAAAAAAAATTTTCTGATTTGTGACACCATGGGTGGACCTTGAGGGTGTTATGCTAAGTGAAAGAAGTTAGACAAGGAAAGGCAAATACTTTACCATTTTACTTGTATGTGGAATCTAAAAAAAAACTGAACTCATAGAAACAGATAAAGATTGGTGGTTGCCAGAGGCAGGGTGGGGGTGGGGGAAATGTAGGAAAGTGGTCAAAAGTACAGACTTCCAGTTACAAGATAAATGTATTCTGGGGATGGAATGTACAGCGTGGTGACTATAGTTAACGGTACCGTATTGTGTATTTGAAAATTGCTAAGAGATTAGATCTGAAGAGTTTGTAAGGTCATTTTTGAGGTGATGGATGTTAATTAAGCTTATTGTGGCGATCATTTTACTATATATATATATTGAATCATTATATATATACCTTAAACTAATACCATATTATATGTCAATTATATCTCAATAAGATGGAAAATATTTAAAAACCCTTTATTATTATGTATGAAACAGAATTTATAGGATCTGTTCACTATAAATGGATTTTTCACTTATAATGAGTTTCTATTAAGGTATTCAGAAATCACACAGGATGTGGGACAATTCTTTATTATCTAGGATAGATTATTTGGTTTCCCAGGCCCTGAAATTTCTGAAGTGCCTCCCAAGAAGTGGCATTACCATTTTCCTAGCTAAAATCAGTTTTTTTGTACAGAGAGAAAAGGAAAATGGATTTTGGAAGGCAAATAGCAGCTAACTGACTCACTCTCTCTTTCATTGTTGGTCTTCACCATCTTCCTGTAGGATTTCCTAGTGTTCTAAATTCTCCTCTGTAGGATAGAAGTGCCAGCCAACACCCAGACCCTTATGGGAATAGTCTTATGTATCCCAAGAACTTACTATTTTCTGCAGTAAACCTAGTCCTCTTCCGTTTAATGAACAGGTGAAAATTATACCATGAGTAATGACATTTATTTAAGTCACCATTTTACTTAACTTTGGCTTTCTCTATTTTCTTTGAATAGGACTACCTCTTTGGTACACTCTCATCCTTTTGCATTTCCATGTATTCTCACAAGGTGGCACCGAATGCGTTGCTGTGGGTTGTCAATGCCTGTATCGAGGCTTAGCTCTGTCTCCTTGGGGCTTCTGTCTCTTAGGGTTAATGTTCAACAGCGGGTGGTGTTCAGTATCGGTATTAACCAAGATATAAGAACACTCCACTTGTCTTTCTCTACTGAGGTGTGAAGAGCTTTAATTTATAATTAACAATGAAAGGCAAAATCGTTAAGTAGTATAATCCTATCTTAATGAATATTTTAGGGTGTTTTGAGTCCTTGAAATGTTTTAGCCATTTTCTTGGCAAATATTGGTTATGCAATTGGTACAGTGTTATAATGCATCTAATTTTAGCCTTACTAGAGATGTAAATTCTCTTAATTTGCATTTATCTAAGACTTCCTATCGCTATAAAACTGCAAAGAGGAAGAATATGAGGTGAAAGCCGATAGTATCCGGATTTAAGTTGTTTTCAGTCAAATTATTGAGGCAGCTTAATTGCCATGTCAAAGTTTGACAAGCATCTAATCTGCAGGTAACTTTCTTTAAAATTTAAAATAAACATGTAGAATTAATAAAGAGATACTTCCTGGAGAAGAATGACAACCAGACAAGCATCACACAGTTTCATTCCACAGTGATTGGTCTCTTGAGAGCTTAACCCCACATTAACAGTACCTAGAAGAGACTGGTGTAGAAAACCACAAGGCTGTCTTACTCTTTACATGATACAAATACTCATGTTTGCCTGACAGCACATTTTTGCCCTGGAAACAAATGTACATGGAAAGTCAGAGTATAAGCAGAAGATGCTTATCAGGTGTGGACTCAGAGCAGCAGAGTGGATTGGATGATCTTAATCGTGGTGTCATCAAATAGCCTGTTGACATGGTCTAGATTCTCGTGATCATGGGCCAGGCTCCTCTCTCCTTAGGAAAGCATTGACAGTACATGGCCCGCCTTTGCTTCTCTGAGTCTCCCTCTTTTGTAATTTCTTCATTGATCCCACACCCTCATTAATCACACAATTCTCATTAAACCACACCCTGCCCTACCTCTTTCATTAGATGTGTAATCCATGCAGTCATTTGTAGTTGGCTTCACTTGGGAGCCTTTATTTTTCTTAAAGTAGTTTTCCTCCATGGGCATAACCTGGAAGATGCTCCCAGCAATTCAGCTCTTAACCCATTGGCTAGAGCATAGGTCCCCCAGCTTTCTCAGTTCTTGGTGCCTTAGTTTTTCAGTCTCAGATAGATATCTCAGTCTATCTTAGTATTTCCACAGCCCTTCTTGGCCAAAAGCAATACCTAATAGTTAAAACAACTTAGTAAGTCTGTATATCCTTAGAACTTAGTAGCCGTTCGAAAAAAAAAACACAAAACACATAAATTGAAAGAAAAAGTAATGTTTAAATTGCATTCTTAGGTAACTACAATAATCTCAAGCCTTGGAATGAGACTGAACATCACCACCCTCATTTCCTGTTCTACATTCCTTTTCATACTACACTTGCTCTTTATCTCAGCAGCCACCAAAATCCCAACTTCACAACAAGGCAATTCCTTTCAAAAGAATATAGGGGGAAAAAAAAAAAGAATATAGGGCAATTTAATGTTGGAATTGTGAACTACCTCAAGCTAGTAGCACACATGGTGTCCTATAGATGCCAACTCTTGCTGTTTCCCTCAAAAATTTAAAATATTCACGGTGCTTTTGCGAGTTCACCATGGTTCTCTGGGTACCTGGGACACAGTTTGGGAACCACGGGGCTAGAATTCAGTCGTATAGCTGCATCTAGCTGCAAGGAGATGAAGAAATGGAATCTATTTAATTTAATCTAGTGACCTCTGCTCTGATAGATCAAATATTTAAATATTAATTTTACATTTCTGTTTTCACAGTGCTGTCTTATATCCCTGTTGGTCAATTATTGAAGGGCAGATGATTATTTCCTCCTTGTAATAATTATAACCATAATAATGGTCACTATTTATTGAGCACTTATATGTAATAAGTGCTCTACTAAGGTGCTTTTCATATATGGTCTCACTTAATCCTCACAATACCTTTTGAGGTAGGTACAAGTATTATTCTTATGAGATATATATATATATATATACACACACATATAATATCTATATCTATCTATATCTATCTATCTATATATAATGGAAACTATTTAGATTAAGTATCTTGCATAAAATCACATAGAAATCAAGTGACAAAACAGGATTTGAACCAGGCTGTCTGATTTTATTTTTTATTTTTAAAAATTTATTTATTTATTTATTTATTTATTTATTTATTTATTTGAGAGAGAGAGAGAGCACGAGCTGGGGGAGCCTGGGTGAGTGGCAGAGGGAGAGGGGAAGCAGACTCCCTGCTGATCAGGGAGCCCAATCCCAGGACTCCAGGATCATGACCTGAGCCAAAGGCAGATGCTCAACCGACTGAGCCACCCAGCCACGCATCTTGGGCTGCCTGATTTTAGAATGAACTCTCTTAACCACCATGCTCTTTTACCTTTGATATTTACTGACTACAAAAATGAAGAACAATATTATATATTCGTGTTGGCATTATTTACTGTTCCACCTATGCTAAAGTAATTAAATTAATACTACCTTTTATACAGTAACTATCTTCAAAGGATTTAAGAAGTAAATTCTCACAATATCACTTGAGCAAGCATGAAGAAGAGACTTGTTCAAAATAGTTCCATGTCAACCTTCCCACATTCTAGTCTGAAATAATACAGAGAGAAAAGGGGGAGGCCAGTATCTATCTCCCAACTTGATATTAGTCAAAGTCCCTTACCTGCAGGATGTGACACCAAGACATTTTATTAACATCTTGACCACCCGTTTTTGTTGCAGGAGGTCGAGGGAAAGATGGTGCCCCCATCATCACTTTTCCAGAGTTTGTGGGGTTCAAACACCTCCCAGAGGAAGACTTCCTGAATGTCATGACCTACCTGACTAGCATCCCCAGGTGAGCTGAACATAGCGGTTTGCTGCCTTCCCAGTCACTGGCTTTATTCTGAATTTCCCATGTGGCAGGGCTGGGCTGAGATGGAATTTTCCCTGAGCACGGCTCACACTAGTATGTAGCTTGGCCAATTTCTCTTATTTATCCATCACAGACAACGGATGGGGGAAGAGTCTAGAAAACAGTGATAAATGAATGTCCATTTTGACTCTGGTGTGCACATAGGGGGTACTCAATAAACATTGTTGAGTGAATGAAACATTGACTGAATAGCTAATGCTGACTTTGTGCCTTCAGATTCATTGCTCTGGATTAAAGTAATTCTGGCTTCCTGGGGCCTGTCATCTGGGACACATGTCCATTGTTCAAGGAGGTCAAGCCATTTTAGGAGTTAATTTTTTTTTTTTAAAGATTTTATTTATTTATTTGAGAGAGAGAGACAGAGAGAGAGAGCACATGAGAGGGGGGAGGGTCAGAGGCAGAAGCAGGCTCCCTGCCGATGCGGGACTCGATCCAGGGACTCCAGGATCATGACCTGAGCCGAAGGCAGTCGCTTAACCAACTGAGCCACCCAGGCGCCCCATGGAGTTAATTTAGTTATCTCCCCCAAATAAGGAATTTAGGGGAAGATTTTATACCTGCCCTATTCAGATGGACAGGTAAGAGAGGCAAAGGAATAAAAACTGTGCTTATAGCTAAGACCTTGACAAAGATGTTTTTGGCATCTGCTGTTTCCACTCTCTCTAACCCGGGCCTCATACTTTTATCCAGTGAAGTCAGTAAACACCCAGGCATCCAAGGTGTGGAGTGTGGGACAGAGTTCATATTGGTGACAACCATTTCACAGACAGAGATCGAGCTGGGAGTGGGGTCAGAACCAACTCTTAGTGCCGTGTCCACTCTCCAGCCAGGAAAGGCCCTGCCTTCCATGGGGTTATAGTGTTTATGACATCTTCTCTCACTTAACTGCTGTGAGGTTAGGCCATGTGTGTGCTCTTTAGCTTGCCTTCTGTCTGCCTCATGTGATTTCGAGGTTAACACCAGCTTTGTGATTGAAAGGCCACCTGGTGTTTCATCCCACCTGTGGAGATCAGGCAGTTGAGTTGTTTGCTTTAACCAAACTCACTCTAAAAGTTTTTTTGGTTTTTGTGTTTGCTTGTTACCTTTCTTCTTTTTTCAGGGAAGGCTATGGATTTCTATTTAATGTACTTCTTCAAAGTTTAGTGCTTAAATTATATTTCACCAGTTCCCTTCCTTTGTACCTTTGATCCCTGAATATGGCATGTATTACACAGACACGTGAGGATTTGGGGTTTTATTGATTTGAAGGAAGGATGCTGTATGTCTCTGGGCTGAGCTCAAGTGGTTCTCTGCTGGGCACCTTTCCCACCCTTCTTGATCTGGCTATCTTCTACACGTTCATCAGCCCTCGGTCTGATCTCATTTCTTCAAGGGCTCCTTCCCTGACTTCAGTTCTGCTCTCATAGACTCTTAATTTCCATAGACTCCTGATCTTACCCCTTATATAGTATATGGAAGTTATTTCTGCATTTCCCATTAGACTGAACAACTCAAGTAGGGGCCAATGCTTTGGTTTTGTTTTGTTTTCTCTTTTATCTCTAGCCCTAGCGCAGTGCCCAGCACATAGTAGGTTCTCAAGAAGTATTGTTGGTGGAACTTCCAGTTCTGATATAATTCATTTCAATCAATGAGTATTTATTATAGAGTGAGAAGGAGGCTGCTGACAGAAGAGAGGGGAACCCCAGTCTTCCTGACTTTACCTCCCTGGTTTATAGGGAGTTGAACCTGGTCCCCCTCTTTGGCTCGATTGCATTCTAAAACAGTGACCCATCAATTTAGGAACTTCTCCTTCCATGGGGAGCAGCAAAGGAAGGGGGTAAGCAGGGAGGTGGGCAACAGGTGGACGTGGCCCCCCCATTCTCATTATGTTTGTTTTAAACTCACCATCTAATTTTCCTGAATCCCCAGATGCAATCATATGCTAAACAAAATGGGTGGTTTTCATCTTGTACTTGAGCATTTTCTGAGTCACGCCGAGAAGCATACACTGAGTGCCATCTGTGGATGGCAGTGCCAGTGTAGAGAGAAACATTGAAGGGTAGAACCCCTATCTCCCAGATGTAGAAGAGAAGACAAAATCAGGGACTAATGTTTTGGCCTGGTGTCTTTTTTCTGCCCTCTGTTCCTTATATAATTTCTTGTAAACAAGGAGTTTTCCCCTTTCCTAGAATGCTTTTGTTCTTGAGAAAGAATAGCTGTCTGACCAGTTATTACCCTTTCCTCTTCCTGGCATTTGCTCATACCCCACTTGCTGCCCCACCGCTATTTAAAACAGAGACAATGGGTAAGAAGGCCCAAAATGGGAATTTGACCTGAACCTTACTGTCCAGGTTCCATTTCAGGTTCCAAAGAATAAAACTACCCCTGTTTCTTTTATGATTCCTACTTACCATCATATGCATCTTTCTAAATCTTAGTGGTTGCCAGGCAACAGAGCCCTTCCCAGGCTGCAAAATGTTTTATAGGCAGTTGGCAGAGGGCTCATGATATAGAACAAGGAAGAATTGATGCACTTGAAGAGGAGGATGGCAGGATACCCAGGGTAGGGAAAGGATACCTCTGTGCTTGAAATTAATAAGGACCTCTCACTGTGGCTGGGTTGGGTGAGGACAGAAAACTTCCCACGGCAGGTCGTTCTTCACCAGAACTTTGCTGTGTGCCAACAGTGTGGATGGTTCCGTTAGTTGCTATAAAGGACCAATGAGGCCATAACAGTGTATCTTGAACCTCAAGAAGCTTGTCACAGGACTCTTTTGTCATGATATTTTGTGAAATATGCGAACAAAGTGCTAAAGAAAGTCAGAAGAAAGAAAAGTCACTTCAGACAAGAATAACAAGGAAAGCTTTAGGAACGAATAGCCTTGAAAGATAGGTAAGATTTCCACAGGTAGATATGGAAGGTGACATTCCAGAGAGAGAGAATAGGGTGGTGTTTAACAGCTTTGGACACAGCCCCGATCTGGAATGAAATCCACATTCTACTGCTCACTAGCTGAGTGGTCTGGGGCAAAACGTTTGGCTTCTATTTCCAATGTCCCCTGAATTTTGAAGTTTTAAATAGAGTATGTTTGGGGAATTATAGACCATGCAGGTTGATCAGAACAGAGTGAGGCTCCTTTTTAGACAGTAGTGAGAAATGAGAGCTGGAAAGACATCTGGAAACAGGCTAGGTAAGGCCTTTTCCACCAAGTTAAGGAGTTTAGACATAGTGAGCACGAAGAGGCCATTGGAGGTTTCGAGGAGAATGACGACCAGATCAGTCTGGTAGTGGTGTGCACGGTGGATCAGACGGAGCCAGAAGAGGAGGCAGGGAGACTGATTAGGGGCTTCTACACTGGGACAGGTGCAAAATGAAGGAGAGTGAGCTAGTTTGATAGCAGGAGGACTGGGTAGAAAGGGATGGACAGAAAGGTGCTGGTCAGGGTTAGGGAGGGGGAGAGTGAGAAACTGATGATGGTGCTTGGCTTTAGGAATCATATTCATAGATCTCACTGCTTGTCTGGGCATGTGGAATTGAGCCCTCATTTTGGTTTTGATTGTCTCATCTTGTTTTATTTTGCTACTTTGCCTGGCTCTTCCTTACCAAAAGTGTGCTAGGACAGTGGTTTCCATCCTAGCTGCACATTAGGGAATTTTGGGGAGTTGGTTTTTTTTTTTTTAAGATTTTGTTTTTAAAAAAATTTTTTTTAAATAAATTTCAAAAGATTTTATTTATTTATTTGAGAGAGAGAGAGTGTGCTCGAGAGCGTGCACAAGAGCGCATGGGGGTTGGGGGAAGGACCAGAGGGAGGGAGAGAGAGAGAGAGGGACAGACTCCCTGCTGAGTAGGAAGCTCTATGTGGGCTCTATCCCAGGCTCGATCCCAGGACCCTGAGATCATGACCTGAACTGAAGTCAGATGCTTAACTGACTGAGCCATCCAGGTGCCCCTTATTTATTTGAGAGAGAGAGAGAGAGACCGCGTGTGCATGTGTACACAAGCACATGCACAAGCAAGGGGTAGGGAGAAGGAGAGAGAATCTCAAGCAGACTCTGCGCTGAGCATGGAGACCAACACAGGGCTCAATCCCACGACGCATGAGATCATGACCTGAGCTGAAACCAAGAGTTGGACACCTAACCGACTGAGCCACCCAGGCGCTCCAGGATCACTTGGGGAGTTTTTAAAAAATCCTGATACCCAGACCAGAGCTCAGACTAATGAAATCAGAATTTTTGGGGGGTGGAACCTAGGCTTCTGTAGTGCTGGAAGCTCCACAGGTGCTTCCAGTGTGCCCCCAAGGGTGAGACTCACTGTGCTAGGGCTGGCAGGGAGGCACTGTGGGGAAGGGACGAGGCATTTGAGGTGTGAGGAAGAAAATGTGGGGTCAGGCTTAGCTTTTGGATAAGATGCAGTAGTGGGGCATGTGGGGAAGTTGAAAGACAGAGGGAAGACAGTACCCAAATCTTTTACTTTTGTTTTCATGGTTCTATATTTCTTCTTAAATGCAACATAGGCCAAAAATTCTATTTCCTGAGCTTCCTGACTCTGCGATTTCTTTGTGAATTAAATGTCGTACATAACTCTTGAGTTAGAAATCTTCCCACATGGATCTCAGGGTATTAAAATATATATGGTTGTGTCATTGTCACATCACCGTTATGTTTCCAATAACAACTGAGGGCTCACTTTAGCCTATCAAGTACCATCCGCTATGTGTCTATACTACTAAGGGTTTTCAGAATTTGTCTCGTAACAAGAGCAGGATAATCCTAGGAGTCAGTTTCTCAGAGGTATTATGTAAGATACTGTCACTTAAAACAGGTCTCCTGTGGCTACCGATTGCAGCCAAATGGCTTGAAAAGGCATTGGTAAAACATTCTGAACAACTGAGATGGTTAGCTATTTTTAGATCACAGTTGTTTTTCTCAGAATCAATATT